ATACTTACTTAAGACTTTTCCTCCATGGGAAAATCATGTGGCATCCGCAATTTATAGGATTTTCGTGCAGGTGGAAAATGTCTTCGAAACTCATTTTCGAGGATTTCACATCGTCTTTTAATACACTTGAGGATTTCTGTCATAAGTATTTCCTCCAAAATTCGCACATGTTTACAATTTTCCACGATCACCGAGAGAGAGAGAGAGAATTTTACAGGGAGATTTGCTTTTTCAAATGAATTAATTGGGGAAGAAAGAATTGCGCTTTCTCGCATTGTTGGGAAATCTAGAAATTCACATAACCAATAAACTTGGGGGTTGCGGCTTTTCCCGGGAAGGAAAACCCACTTCGACATTCTCAATTAGCATATTCTGGATATTCTGTGCAATTTTGCGGAAGAAGAGCGCCCTAAATGAGTTGAATTGGGTCAGTGGAGTGATTCTCTGTCCCAGAAAGCCAACCATGATGGAACTGCTAAATTGAATTCCAGTTGTATGCAGCAAATTTTTAAGCACTCCGCTCAATGGCTCTTTAATTGGTGCAATTCTCCTCGCAAAAGCGCATTATTTAGTCATGAATTCCATGGAGAAAATCCCCTTGGATATTGTTATGGTTGTTGAGGAGTTTCTCAAGAACCACCCCTAAAATGCCATTGCTAGAAAACGTCCTTCTCCCTTCACCCTTCCCTGTTCGAAATTTAACTGCACAACGACTTATGGGATGTTTAAGGGAGAATTTCGCCTGAATGACTGCATTTAAATAAGTTTTCCATCACACTGGTCATTACACTGCCATCGCAGGCAAGAAGCCAACGCGATGGCAGCCGTGAAAAAATGTGCATTCTCTGCTCTTTTGCTCCCCCTTTTTCCGTGGAGGAGATGCAAATTGTCGGATGGAATGGACATATTTTACCATGCCTGAACTTCGCCGCATGTAATTTATTCAATTGCTGACTCCGGTGCTGAAGATGGCGGAAAAATGTGCTGAAGAATTACAGGGCCATCAATTCAACTCTGGCCCGGGACATCGCGCGCCATTTAAAATTAACCAACTTTTTATTACCCATTCATTCAATGGTCTTTCCATCAAATGCCCAATTATTCGCGGTGATTTCTTCCCGCACAAGCACCAATTTGTCATCTGCCAGCACTCGGTGGAGATTCATCGATAAAAGGAGTTTTTCCACCTGAATTGCCAGCACTTAAATTCCTCTTCCGCCCCAGCGTAAAAGAGTATTTTCAGTTATTAAATGGTGTGCTTTATAAACATTATAACTGGCGGCGGCGAAGCACCTTTCGGCATTTTCGCTATAGCTTGGCGGGCAAACAAAGAGGACTTGCGGGTGGAGAGCAATGAAAAATTAATAAAAGTTCGTCATGGACGGTTATGGTCATAATTTATATTTCCCAATGAAATTACTCGCCACTTTCGTGCAACTCAAATTCTTCCGCATTACCAACTTTTTATTGCCCCGTGAACTCTCCCGCGTCTCGGTGCTACATAATGAATTATATTATGCTAAAATTGGGGTGGGAAAGAGGGTGGTGCTTCGCATTAAAATATGTCATTGACAATCTCAAACTCTGTGGGTCAGCGCGATGCACAGAAGCGACTCAATGTGGGTAAAATAGGGGTTTGAAATTTATACAGCACCAACTGATGAACTTAAAATAAGTATAGAATCAGAATTCATAAGAATATTAGCAGTTTTATCGGCTTAAGTGCAAGAATTGGTGTGTCAATTTGAAGAAAAAGAACAATTTCACGCAATATACTTTCGTTGAATTGTACACCACTTCTAACTACAATATCTCCGCCTTGTTGCTGAAATGTGTTCCCTTTCGAGGTGGGAAATTAATTATGAATTTCAGCATAAAACGTCCTCTCATAAAACTCCACCGAAACGGGTGGAATTTTTATAAAGACACTTCTCTGAGCAGAGAGGCATTAAAAAGGGTGAGCTTTTGAGCTTTCGATGAGATTTACAGTAGATTCGCATGCGGGAGATCCTCATGAGGCGTCAGGAGAGGAGATTGTGAAACAATTTACGAGTGCAGATTGAGAGTAGATGGGAAATTCAAGCCTTTCATCGACCTTGTTGTGAAATATTGGAGTCACTTTGCCGCCGGCTGAGAACGGTCAAAAATGGGGGATGCTGAGCTAATATTAGGGGTCATTTGTGCTTGGGAAATTTCCCTCCGAGCGACGCACTTCAAGTGACTTCTTGGGCACAAAGTGCGAGCGAAGGTGTGAATAAATTGTTGGCAGTGAGACAGAATTTTTTCTCGCTCATTTCTCAGGACTTCTCTTGTATTGCGCGCCATGCGAGTGGCCGGAGTTATTTACGACAATGACTTTCTGTGAAATTCGCCCCTTTTCCATCCCGCACGACGTGATGTATTTCACTTGAATCTCCCCTTTTACCATCCTCCTCATCCCAGGCAAATGCCCGGGCATTTCCCCGGCCAGAGGGGAGCAAAAAGGGAAAGTCTCTGACGCTATAAAAGTGAATCGTGCCATGACTATTAAATGCCACTGTATTTACCTTATTAGATGAAAAATTATACAAATCACAAATTGGATCCACACCAAATTCCCAAGGCGTGCTGGAAACTCACTAAGGCAGGTGCAAACTTTTGAGATTTACCCCCTCCCCCCCCGGCCGCCGCCCTCGGTTGTTTATTGCGTGTAGCCGAAGTTTCTTTGGCAGCCATGGAACAAAAGTTTCCCGCCTGAACATCTCCAAACTCTGTCTCGCCATACGATCAACATACGCAGTTTCGTGTGGCAAATCAACAAATTGATCGGAATAAACTTTCGCAATATTAATAAGTCAGTAAGGAATTGATGCTTGAGCAATGTTCTTCCACGCACTTCTCTCAATTCTACTCAATTGACTGTGGAACATATTTTTCGTGGGGATGTGGAAGTTGTGGGGAAAAGACTGGGGAGATAATGGCGTTATATTGAATTTCAGAAGTTCTCGATTACTGACAAAGAATAAGAGTTGAGAAAATCATCTGTTTTCAAATGGAAACACTTGATTTTTCACACACAAAGTGCATAAAATATACTGAAAGTCAAAGTTAAAGTTTATTTTTGTGTGGCTTGTGAACAATTTCGCTTGACAAGCAATTCATATTGATTGTTAATCTACAATTGTGTCAACTCTGCGGTCTTTCGTCGATCCATAAACACTTTACTATTGCGGGGAACTTCAACAAGTGGGATGACGTACACATATATCGTGCATGAGAGATGGAATGCTGAGGTGTTTATGTGATGTCAAAATTCCACCCACCGCCCAGAAAGCTCTCTCGCGCGCGCTTTCACTGATTTAGATTACAAATGTTATGAGAGTTGCTGGCAGTTAGTGGTGGAAAATATGAAGCAAAACCAATATAATGTTCAAAAGTTGCCTCAACCGCAACTTCATCCACAGCCCCAGAAAGACGATGAAACTTGGTTGCAGAGGCAAAAGTTTCTGTCATTAATTTTTGCTCTCCTGCGCCCACATCCACATTATCGTGTCATATATGCTGCTGGGGTAATATATTGCCAATGGGGGTGAAGAAATGGGAAAGTCGCAGTGCGTGGCATTATTAATGCACGATTGTGTGCAAATTTCAACCCCGCTCGCGCACTGTCCTTTCATATATACCCAAACGAATTTGCTATTACTTTCCCTCTGGGTTAATTCAAGCATGACCAAATGCCAATATTTCAGGCCGAGTTGCCTCAACTTTTGTTCAAATATCATACATGGTTTGTTGCACTCCGCATGACTTCAGCATTCAATTTTCCATTACATCGTATAAGATATTCCAACTGCGAATCGTTTTCCGTTTCCAATGTGATTCTCCGCCACGAGTGCATCTCTCATGCTCTCCAGAACATCATACGCCAAGAATCCGGCACAACTTTTCAGTTGGGAGGGTGGAAGAGAGCTTTTGACTCTTTAATGCAATTTTCTTTAAAGTGACTCTTCATAGGGGCTTTGCAGGGTGCTCTTTGTGGGTGTGTTTTCCCTCTAAACTCCTCCACTGAGCAAAGTTATCCGCTTCAAATTCATGGCAGAAGAAGGCTATTTGCAGTCAAAGGGTGGCGAATTCGCTGGCTTTTATTGCTGCAAAGTGACCGGAAGAAGTGAAAATCGGCTTGTTTACTATCAATTTCATCAATCTGTTGATACATAGTAGAAATTTTTCCAAATAAGATTTGCTCTAGAAACATCTTAATTTGCCAACACTGCAAATCGATTGTGGTTACGCTGATAAGACTGATAAGGCATAATTCATGCTTCTCAATTTATATTTTGCATATAACTTTGTGTTTCATACTATGTACAATCTTTAAAAAATGTAAATTTCGGACAAAAGGATTTTTTAAGAGATGGAAAAGCAATAAAATTCAACATTTCTTTCAAAATCACCTCAAATGCTAACAAAAGAAACTGAAAATCTCACTAAAACAATACTTAAATAGAAGAAAATGGAGAAGAATACTAGAAAAAGCTCAATATTGAACTTCAAAGAGCACCAAAGCATCTTATATGATTAAAATTGAGCATAATTTTTCCGCAATCCCTTTGCGTAAACACTATACATTGTTTCCATACAGGATCAATAACACTTTTTCCTTGGTTTTCTCAGTAGATTAAATTAAAACACCCACAAAATTCACTACTTTATTTCATTGACAACAAATGATCAGCTGCAAACGATCCCCATACGTATTATTGTATACATTGTATATTGTGGGTCACATGCATAAGTGATTAGAGATCAGCTTTGCGATCGCTATTTGATCACCCACCAATTGAACAATTGTCGTCAAGATTTAGACTTACTGCGAGGCCTTGCTGATAAGAGTTGGGCGTTGAACTGGGCGCTGCAGCCTTTTGACCCGGCCTTATCGCCGATCTGGCGATGCACAGAATGCTGATCACAGCGAAAGGTGGGTATAAAACACCTCTCTCGCCAATGTCGGAATCACAGTTCAGTTGTGGTAGCAGAACAAGCCACCATGCGCTGTGCAGTAATTCTTTGTGCTCTGGGTGAGTAGCGAGTCCTCATTTGGGGATGTGCGCAGGACGTGCTAAGGAGTCTTCTTGTCTCTTTGCAGTTGCCAGTGTTCTGGCCAGCCACGATGCCGCCTTCAATGCCCACCAGGAATACACTTACGCCGTCGAGTCACGCACCCTGACTGGCTTCCCCGAGCAGAGGGACCAGTACGCCGGTGTGTTCTCCCGTGCCAGACTTACTCTGTGCCAGAAGAGCGAGACCGAGCTGATCGGCCGCTTGACCAAGGCTGAGTACGCCCCCTTCAATGGACAGCTCATCGAGGGCTGGGCCTCTGAGGTGGACGAGAAGACTCTGCCTTACAAGCAGCAGCCTTTCTGCGAGAAGCCTTTCAGCATCGAGTACAAGAACGGCGTGATCCGCTCTCTGGCCTTCGACGCGTGCATGTCCAACGAGCACGCCAACCAGGTTAAGGGTGTCATGTCGCAGTTCCAGCTCGATCTCACTGGTGAGAACGAGGTGAAGTGCAAGTACAACCAGGTGCCCACTCAGGATCCCAAGAAGAACATCGTCGGCTCCTACAAGGCCATGGAGTCCACCGTGACTGGCAAGTGCGAGGTTCAGTACCAGGTCACCCCTGTGCCTGAGCACTACGCCGAGACCCACCGCGAGTGGTTCCCCATTCCCGAGCTGAAGCACAACCACACCTACCAGAACGTGCAGATCGTGAAGACCAAGAACTACGACAACTGCGACAAGCGCATCGGCTACCACTTCAGCCTGCAGACCATGGAGGAGAACGACGACAAGCCCAACTCCAACCAGATGGGTGACTTCTTCTCTCGCAGCTCCGTGTCCAACGTGTACATCACCGGCCAGCTCACCAACTACACCATCCAGTCCGCCGCCACTTACAACAAGGTGCACGTCAGTGCCAACCTCCGCGACGACGAGTCCCCAATGGTGGCCAGTTACGTGAAGGTGACCCTCGAGGACGTGAAGCCCCTGCACGGTGCCTGCCAGGGCCCAGAGAACGCTCTGCCCGCCGGTGACCTCGTCAGCCGCTACAACCTGCCCTCCGACACCAGCAACGCCATCCGCCCCGTGCAGGAGGATGACGATGATGATGATAGCTCCAGCTCTGACTCTGACTCTAGCTCCGACTCTAGCTCTGAGGAGGAACATGAGGTGAACAAGTACGCCAAGAAGGACGATTACGAGCACGAGAAGCTGCAGCGCAAGCAGGAGGCCCGCGAGGAGGAGAAGCAGAAGGCCAACAAGCGCTACAACCAGGAGAAGAACTTCGAGAAGTACCAGCCCCACCACAATCGCCAGCGCCGCAGCGTTGCCGGACACCCCCACCAGCAGCAGGACATCAAGTACACCCACAAGATGGAGGAGGTGAGCTAATCAGCTATTGATTTCCCTAATCTTTCAGTCGATAAAATCTCTTTTTCCTTTGATTCCATTAGAAGAACTACAACAACTACAAGCCATCCAGTGAGTCCGACTCCAGCTCTGACGACTCTGATGACTCTGATGACTCTTCCGACTCCTCTGACTCCTCTTCCGACGACTCTGATGACTCCAACAGCTCCTACTCCGACTCCAGCGACAGCAGCTCCTCTGACAGTCTTGATGACAGCCAGGAGTTCTGGCACCCCAAGCCCAACATGATGCAGAGCCCCGAGCACGCTTTCCTGCCCTTCTTCGTGGGCTACAAGGGTCACTCCATCGCCGCCAAGGTCGATGTGGCCAAGAAGGCCGTGGAGCTCTTCCAGGAGATCGCCCGTGATGCTCAGGAGCCATCCCAGCTGCCCAAGCACAACACCCTCGCCAAGTTCACCACCGCCGTGCGCTTGATCCGCGTTATGGACTTCGACCAGATCGACTTCGTCGCCCAGAAGCTCATGCTCGCCGCCAAGGCTGCTGACCGCAAAACACCCGATGACAAGTACAACCAGGTAAGACGCTAATCCCTTCCTCTCGTTCTTGTTCCGACTTCTAACGATTGTTTGCTATTGCAGGAGAGTCTTCCCCAGCAGCACCCGGCTCATGATGCTTGGTACGCCTTCAGAGATGCCTGCGCCGAGGCCGGAACCGGTCCCGCCGTCGCCGCCATCTTCGAGTGGATTGCCAAGAAGAAGGTCCATGGTGAGGAGGCCGCCCAGCTCGTCGCCACCCTGCCCAACAGCGTCCAGGTCCCCACTGACAAGCTCCTCCACGACTTCTTCAAGATGGCCACCAGCCAGACTGTCCAGCAGCAGCTGTACCTGAACGCCACCGCCCTCTTCGCTCTTACCCAGATCGTCGAGCAGGCTGTCGTGAACAACCAGACCGCCTACGAGTACTACCCCGTGAACGTGTACGGACGCCTGGCCGACAAGCGCTCCCCCATCGTCCACGACGTCGCCCAGTGGCTCAGCGCTGAGCTGAAGCACGCCATCGAGCACGAGGACAGCCACCAGGCCCTGACTTACATCCGTTGCCTCGGCAACCTCGGACACCCCACCATCCTGGCCGCTTTCGAGCCCTTCCTTGAGGGAGAGCTTGAGTGCACTGGCTTCCAGCGCGCCGCCATGGTTGTTGCCTTCGACCAGCTCACCCAGAACTACCCCAAGCTTGCCCGCAGCGTGCTGTACAAGCTGTACCAGAACATCGCTGAGGTCCATGAGGTCCGTTGCGCCGCTGTTATGCAGCTGATGCGCACCGAGCCCCCAGTGCATATGCTCCAGGCCATGGCTGAGTTCACCCACCACGACCCATCCCGCGAGGTTCGCGCTTGCGTGAAGACCGCCATCGAGTCCGCCGCTGATCTTGAGCACGCTCACTACCAGGAGTTCGCCGCCGCCGCCCGCGCCGCCGTCCCCATGCTGACCGAGGAGGAGTTTGGCGCTTCCATGAGCATTGTGCACCTGCGCGATGCCTTCCTTGAGAAGTTCAACCTTGCCGCCCTTGCCCAGTTCACCAGCTTTGGCTCTGACGACAGCATCCTGCCCTCCGCCGTGCACGCCTACATTGAGAAGAGCTACCGTGGCTACCGTCGTGCCACCCTCGCCTACGCTATGACCTCCTCCGTGGAGCGTCTGTTCGACCTGTTCTACGAGCAGTTCGAGGACAACCAGGAGCAGAAGCAGGAGCGCGAGCAGCACTACAAGGCCCAGAAGGCCTCCGCCAAGAGCAAGAAGTACAGCTATGCCGCCAGCGGTGGCAACCCCAAGAACGCCGCCTTCGCCGACTGGACTTACGACAAGGTCGCCGATATGCTCAACATCCAGCCCGATCAGGCTGAGCCCGTCGAGGCCCAGTTCCTCGTCAAGCTCTTCGGAGCTGAGCGCTTCTTCGCCTTCGGCAACGCCACCGTCGAGCAGCACATGCCTTTCTACATCCGCATGCTGGCTTCCGCTTTCAAGCAGGGCTACAACTTCCACCACACCAAGTTCTTCAACCAGGACCAGCTTACCGTGGCCTTCCCCATGGAGTCCGGTCTGATCTTCTACCACCGCTTCTCCGTGCCCACTTACGTGAGCGCCACCGGTGACTTCCGTGGCCGCAGCCAGCCTGATGCCGCCAAGTTCGGTCCCCGCGATGAGGACATGTACGCCCCCATCGAGACCCCCGACTACATCAACGCCACCTGCGCCCTGCACTTCGTCTATGCCGTGAGCATGCAGAGCCAGACCGGTTTCTTCACTCCCCAGGACCAGCAGCGTTACATCGCCGGCCACACCCGCAAGTTCCAGATCAATCTTCCTCTGAACATTGCCGTGAACATCGACCTGAAGAACGAGCACTTCTCCGCCACTCTGCGCCCTCTGTTCCCCCACAAGTCCATCGATGTTGCCCACTACAGCAGCTGGCCTTACACTGCCCGCAAGGATATCATGGACCTGAGGCCCGTGTCCGAGGCCAAGGACGTCAAGCCCCTGCGCCTGCGCCCCACTGTCAACCTCAACACCTGCTACGGTGACAAGATGACCGGTATGGCTTTCCGTTTCTACGGTGACCACGAGATCCGCACCCCAGTCGAGTACACTCTGTGGCGCCACTTCGCCGAGCACCGTGACGACATCGAGGAGTTCGCCTTCTTCCCATGGGCCGTCCACTTCGCTCCCCACGCCAACCTCAACGTGGCCTTCGACGCTGAGAAGAGCACCGCTCACGCCGTGACCTTCTACTTCAACTGGGCCAAGCAGTACGACGCCGAGTTCGGACCTGGTGGCCAGCAGCGCTCCCAGTTCGCCCAGGTGCGCGGTACCCCCCGCTCCCAGTACGACAACCTGGCTATCCCCGCTTCCCTGAACCCCGACAGCGAGCGCCGCGCCGAGCAGTACCTGCAGGTCGCCGGAGCTGGCATCAAGAACAGCAAGGCCTACGTCGTGGACTGCGGAGCCGTGTTCCACCGCGGACAGCAGGGTGCCTACTTCGAGAAGAGCAGCCAGGTTGCCCACTTCATCGCCACCTTCGCCGTGGCTGACAGCAGCGTTGCTGACAAGTCCAGGGCTCTGTTCTTCGCCGCCGCCGTTCCCGCCAAGGAGTCCCCCATCCACCTCTGCGCCGTGGCCGAGGCCAAGCTGCCTTCCGCCGCCCAGCTGAACTTCAAGCACGCTCTTGAGACCGTCGCCGGCGGTGATCTCTTTGCCGATGTCCTCGTGGGCATGGACAAGTGCGACTCCACCGATGCCTTCCACGCCAAGATCAAGGGTAATGTTGCCCAGACCGACGCCTTCAGACGCTACATCAAGCAGTCCCCCGAGGGACAGCAGTGCCTGTACCAGATGGAGCACGGAGACTACCAGCTCCCCGCTTGTGTGAACGCCACCCACCGCGCCGCCCTCATGCAGGACGTGCAGCTGCAGATCGAGTACAACTTCGAGCACCCCGAGGTCACCAACTTCACTAGTGAGGCTGTTGCTCTGGCCAGATACTTCAGCGCTGGCTTCAACTGGGATCAGGACCACACCTACGAGGGCAAGCCCGGACGCGTGCAGTTCGCCTACGAGCTCTCCCCCAGCGGCTACTACGGCAACTTCACCCTTGCCACTCCCTCCTACAAGGCTGAGCTCATCAACGAGCACCTCAACCCATGGCTGAGGGCTGCCCTGACCGTGCACCCCGAGTACGACCTCTTCGACCGCGTCGCCCTGACCGCCTTCCATGAGGAGTACAAGCCAACTTGCAGCATCAACAAGAACAAGATCAACACCTTCGACTCCTCTGTGCTGAACTACAACTTCGGCAAGTGCTGGCACGTGGCCTACATCACCGATGCCGATGAGTACGAGTACGACAACGAGGATGAGGAGAAGAACGAGCAGTTCGACGATGAGGACATCGCCATCCTGGTGCGTCAGCCCAACGGTGATGATGATAAGGACGTGATGGTGGTGCTCGCCCAGGAGGAGCAGCACGACTTCGTGATCTACATGCCCGCCAAGGAGGTTCAGGCCCGCCACGTGTACGTGGATGGTGAGAAGAAGCCCGTGAGCGAGAAGGAGGCCATCGAGATCTTCAGCGAGGATGATGCCCAGCAGCCCCTGGCCCGCATCTACTGCGGACCCGTCGGTGAGGTGACCGTGGAGATCCGCGATGGCGCCGCCACCGTGGTGACCAACGGACAGACTGTCGTGATCGAGAGTCCCGAGAACCGCGGTGAGGTCCTCGGTGTGTGCGGTTCCAACGACGGTGAGCGCGAGAACGATATGCAGACCCCCGCCAAGTGCTACCACCGCAAGGTGTCCCACTTCGTGGCCGCTTATGCTCTGGATGACGCCACCTGCGAGGGTGAGGCTAAGGTTGTGAAGAAGGAGGCCGCCCAGGCCCAGTGCTTCGAGGAGGAGCTCCTCTTCACCGACGCCGTGACTGACATTGAGGCTGGTCGCCAGCACTACGGACAGGGAATCCACGATGATGAGGATGATTCCTCTGACTCTGACTCTTCTTCCTCTGATGACTCTGACGATTCCGACGACTCCGACGACTCCTCTGACTCTTCCTCTGCCGACGAGGAGCAGCTCGCCGTTGCCGAGAAGAACAGGCAGCACCACTACCAGCAGAAGAAGTGCGAGGCTAAGCACCAGACCCAGTACGTTGAGCGCAACGGTGAGATCTGCTTCACCATCCGCCAGCTGCCTGCCTGCGAGCAGCCCTGCCACGCCACCGAGAAGATCGACAAGCGCGTGCCCGTGTACTGCAGGCCCGCTTCCGAGCCCGCTGCCCAGCTCTACCGCCAGCAGATCCGCAAGGGTGCCAACCCCGATCTGCGCGACAAGGCTCCTTCCCGCTACATCAACTTCGCCGTGCCCCAGACCTGCACCATGTAAAGACCCCAAAGTGACGTATTTATTGACCAATGTAGAGTAGAAGAGCAAATATAGCGGCCGTCTCGGTCCAAAAATAATAATCTAACGACTTTCCTTCCTCTCTTGAATATCAACTTCGTTGCACACTTCACACCCTCTTATTCACCTTTGTCTTCCAAGGGGATGACAATCCTAACTTTCAATATCAATCAACTGAATATTCTTTTAAATGATCAGCTTTACTCGCTTTAGAAAAAATTATTGAAACCTTTATACAAATTTTTAATGATTCTTGCGACTCTTTCTCCCCTTCTAGCTTTAATTTCCAACTAATCTTAATTCACTATTGAGGGTTAACAAGAAGAATTTTTTCTCCGAATTTCTCATGTATTCAATGCATCCTATCTCATTTCTCGGAATTCCCTCCATTGAGCGCCAATTGAACTACAATCCAAATATGATTGCCTTCTGTGGCAGCCGCGTGAAGATGTCTAAGGGCGATGAGCTGTGCATGTCGGCGTCCCGCCGTGCGGATTGATGCTCTCCCGGCGCGATGTTGAGTGAAAATGCGAATCTCGGCAAGTGTGACTCGATTTTTCACTTTGCTCTCGAGTGTATGGCTCCAGTAAATAGGAGAATCACGTCTGCAGATGGAGTCCTTTCAGCTCCTGGAGTGACACACTCCACTGGGATTTACATGGTGGATTTCCTCAATTGATTCCCGGGTGAGAAGCTCTCCTTCGGCGCTTCCTGTCTAGACGATTATTTTCAATTATTATGCATTAGTCCATGTCGTGAATGAAATATTGCAACTCCCGCGGGAGGAGTGCGGATCCGAGGAAACAAGGTACAAGTGCAATTAATTTAGATGCCCATGGGCGAGATTTGGGCGCTTGTAAACACACCCTAAAGGGGTGAAGTGATAAACTGTGAGAGATGTGCTCACAAATTGCAAAACACATTCGGCAAAGTGTTCCTTCTCGCCATGCAATTGCTTTTCGGACATGCTTGAAAAATTACCTACCGTCTGCAGAATTTAAGCTTATGATTTCCTAAATTCTTCGGGAGCATCTTGAGAAATTGCGCCCAAAATGCATCACCATCAGCAGTCTCTGTTGCCCATAAATCACCCCCAATCTTCCGGGTCATCCTGCTGACTTGCAACAACTCATGAGAGAAGCACTGCTCAAGAAGTCTCAAAGCTTGTTCATTGGATTGTGAGGACTTGTAATCTGTTTATGCGGACAAAAGTTTAATTGTGTGCCTCAAGTTTCCAGGCCTGAGGCGGGCTGAGAACTCCCCACATACACGCCACCAATGCACTCTCGGGTGCTTTAATTGGTGGTTGAGTCCGGTGGTTTATTTGAAAAGTTCCCCCGCAGAGCAAACTTTAATGATTCGCCCCAGATACTAATCCGCACACAATTTACTACGTGGCAAGTCTGGTCATCTCGGCGAATGACACAATCAGTCACATGGAATGTGAAGTTATGGTGGCGAACAGATCATGTTCATTGCATGAGATGATAACACAGAGACTCAAAGCGTCATTTCCAGCCAGTTTCACTCTCTGAATTGCCAGACAATTCACCATGACATCGCATCATCCGCAGCATCTGACTTGGGAACGGTTTGAATGATCAAGAAAGGAATGCAACGCATCACGATCTCAAGGTTTAATGCTGCAGAAAGAAAATGTATTTTAACATTTCCACTGAGTTGTACACCATTTCCGTCCATAATCTCTCCGCCTTGTCTATTTCGAACTTGGATTTTCTTATCAATCCATAAGAGTTGTTTATTATCGCATCCACTAATTCACTCTCTTCTAATATATTTCCATTCATTCTTCATCACATATCAATTTGGAATTAATTTTGAGCATATTGACTAGAATTTTGATTTGCGATAATAAACTGCAAACAAGTAATTTACACTTTATCAATATATGTATGTTGCCGTAATTAACTGCTGATGATATCCATACACTTGCATAGCTGCACAAGAGTAATTCATACCGTTGCATTGCTTGTTTTAATAATTCTCTACAAAATCTCCATCAGAGGTAAACAATTTGTTTGTCTCATTTCAGATTTCATTTAGCATTCATTCGCCAAATATGCGCTATTTCAATCTATTTTCCCAAGGGTTATTCAGCTAAAGCTCTCGGTGGAAAGATTTAAGGCTTCTCATGAAAACTAAATGACTCTAATTACACAAACCATCGCGAAAATCATGACAATTTCCTCTCTACATCGATAGTTGAAACCAATGAATGCTAGAACAAAGAACGACTACACATTTGTCATCTACAAGTGATATTTGCTACACGATTCTCATTACAATTGTGCCAGACTTTCATGGCGAGTTTGCGTCACGTTCCCAAGTCATGATTCCGGGCCTTTTTTCTGTTTTCTAGCACATAAAAGGGTGGCGAACAGCTTCCTTCCTCTGGAGCGTCAGAAGCTGACTCTTTCTCTCCCTGTTGGAGATTCCGATTTTCCACAGGAAGAACACAGACGAGATGGCAAAGAATGATGAGGGAATAGTTTATAATGTTGCTCAGGCGTCACCTGGAGTGACAGGTCACAAATAAGTGGAATCTGCTGCCATAGATTACCCACAATTAGTGTTCCTGCAGCTGCACATTGGAATCCCATTCACGAAATCACCCTGTTCTGGCATGAAAATTAATTATTGTTTGCATTTTGTGCATTCATTGCGCCAAGTAGTACAACTTTCAGCCAACCGAATATGCACATTCTTGCTTCCCATCCAAGGGAGAGATAATTTGGCTGCAAGATGTACAACATTTCCAGTCATTTTCATATTTTTGCACTTCTCGCTTCGGAATTAAATTCTTAGCTTCAGTCTAATTATTTCATTCATTTCCACTTAATTTTGTTTTATGTGTGCGAATTCCTCACAGTTTGGCCGGATTAAGATCGCAGCTTGGTCTTGAGACAAGACGCGTGGCGCCACAGAATATCAGTTTCTCTAATGTTATTTTAAGTTTGTTATTAAGCTTTTCTTCATCACTGATTCACTGCTGGTTTGCTGATTGATAGAATTTTGAGCGCCTTTAAGCACTTTCTTGCATTTCCAGTCAAATGTACACCACAATATCTGCTCCTTGTTCTCAGTCTGAGGAAACAAACCCTTGAAGAATGTAGGACGTCAGAGAAAGGTGTTGCCTAGATCCATTTCCTGCATGCTTCACCCCAAACACTGACCGTTGTATTTGCACAATTGGCAAATTCTCAGCTAAGGGGTTGGTAAATTGAGACAGTTTGCTCACTGCAAAGCGGTACATGGCATAATATTTGCTGCAAGGGATTTATGGGTTCCAATTGCAGCGGACACACAAGGAGTATTAAATTGGCTTGGGTGTGATCAACATTAGCGCAGGTATAAGTGCTTACCGCCCCTTGACACTTTCCCGTGTTGAGTTTCTGGTAGATGGAAAACAAGGCGTTCAGCGTGTGGCACAATGAATCGTCCCAGATAGAAAGGTAGATATACACTCAATTCATACCGCAACGACGTTCATTTGCTCTCGTGTGTGGGTGGGAAATTCCCACCCATCGCCCAGGATCAAATGGATGGATTTACGTGCAGCTACACGCTTGTCTTTCGCTCCCATCTCTCATCCGGAATCACCTTTCTTTTCACCGCACTCCGAGAAGTGTCCGCAGCCCCATGAGTTGGGGTGCGACCACTGAGAATTTATTTCGCTGTTTTTCACCCGCGGCATCAGATTAAAAATTTATTTGCGCCCTGATTTACTTTCAAGGGTTGTCGAATTGCGCGCGAAGGTGGAATTCTTTTCACCCTCCCGGTGCTGGAATTCCCTTTGTGGCGGAGCTTTTGCACACACTTCGAGGCGTGTTTTAGTATCGATTTGGCTTATGCTACGCGATGGCGTTGGTGGATATGGATATGTTTGCTGTGCTTTTTTCGCAAATGGACGAACAGGTGGAGTCAATTGAGTTGATTAATTGAGGTGAGTTGTCAGTGTTTCTTTCCTCGTTAACCATCTCGGGAGTTGTGTTGGATAAAAGAGAGTGAAAAAGTGTTAAAAATCATCACCATGGCGAAGATCAAAGATTTTTATGATGTTGTGTATCCATATTACATTTTGTCACGGATTCTGGGCCTCTCGGCCTTTTCTTTGCGCCTGCAAACAAATCGAAAGCTCTTCTTGCGGAGTCTAATGCTGAATTTTCTCACTCTCTCAGGCTTAATCTCCGTGGAAGTCTGCATCGTGATACATTTCTATAATAATCACGAGCAGTATTTCTTCACATCTCCCAGTTATATAATAGAAGTCACCTCGAATATGCTAATGATAATAGTGCTGGGAAATTCCTTTATTGCTGTGATAATGAACTTTTGCCTCCAGAGACAGATCCAAAAGCTTCTGGACTTTATTGTAAATTGTGATCAGTGCATGGAGCAAATTAGCATTAGCATAAACCATTGGAAGCATCGTCGTTTCGTCTATTTCTACATTCTTGGGACATTCCTTAATGCCGCTTTCATGGTTTTCGCCTCTCACAGTGCAGTCTCAAATTGCCGCGTCTTCAAAATCTACCCAATTGTTATACTCGCAATTGGCTATGTAATGTGCACAATTGCATTTACAACATTTATTGGTCAAATGCTTCTCATGCTCATCGCTATTTACGTGCGATACAGAAAACTCAATAGATTCTTTGCTAAAACATTCATAACACAAAAGAAGGCAATTGAGGACACTCCGGAAAGATTCAGCATCTTGAATAACATCTCAAAGTTGAGCTTTGAGGATCAGAGCGAACTTATTCGAAAGATTGCAATTATTCATGATCAATTGACAGAAATTACCAGTCAAAATAATGTGTGCTTCTCTATTCAGGTGAAAGAAAAACAGATCTACATGAGAATTTGAGTCATTTGTAATATTTTCTTACAAAATCTTCAGATCATGCTCGCCTTGGTGGCTTTTTTAGTGAATTTGATCCATGGATCCTTCGCCTTTTATCGTCTCACTATCATAGAGACTCATGGATTCAAAGTAATGGGATATATCAATCTGATGTGGGTCACTTATGACTTCATT